CAGTTCTAGTTCAGTTCTAGTTCTAGTTCAGTTCTAGTTCAGTTCTAGTTCAGTTCTAGTTCAGTTCTAGTTCAGTTCTAGTTCAGTTCTAGTTCAGTTCTAGTTCAGTTCTAGTTCAGTTCTAGTTCAGTTCTAGTTCAGTTCTAGTTCAGTTCTAGTTCAGTTCTAGTTCAGTTCTAGTTCAGTTCTAGTTCAGTTCTAGTTCAGTTCTAGTTCAGTTCTAGTTCAGTTCTAGTTCAGTTCTAGTTCAGTTCTAGTTCAGTTCTAGTTCAGTTCTAGTTCAGTTCTAGTTCAGTTCTAGTTCAGTTCTAGTTCAGTTTTAGTTCAGTTCTAGTTCAGTTCTAGTTCAGTTCTAGTTCAGTTCTAGTTCAGTTCTAGTTCAGTTCTAGTTCAGTTCTAGTTCAGTTCTAGTTCAGTTCTAGTTCAGTTCTAGTTCAGTTCTAGTTCAGTTCTAGTTCAGTTCTAGTTCAGTTCTAGTTCAGTTCTAGTTCAGTTCTAGTTCACTTCTAGTTCAGTTCTAGTTCAGTTCTAGTTCAGTTCTAGTTCAGTTCTAGTTCAGTTCTAGTTCAGTTCTAGTTCAGTTCTAGTTCAGTTCTAGTTCAGTTCTAGTTCAGTTCTATTTCAGTTCTATTTCAGTTCTAGTTCAGTTCTAGTTCAGTTCTAGTTCAGTTCTAGTTCAGTTCTAGTTCAGTTCTAGTTCAGTTCTAGTTCAGTTCTAGTTCAGTTCTTGCTCAGTTCCAGTTCAGTTCTAGTTCAGTTCTAGTTCAGTTCTAGTTCAGTTCTAGTTCAGTTCTAGTTCAGTTCTAGTTCAGTTCTAGTTCAGTTCTAGTTCAGTTCTAGTTCAGTTCTAGTTCAGTTCTAGTTCAGTTCTAGTTCAGTTCTAGTTCAGTTCTAGTTCAGTTCTAGTTCAGTTCTAGTTCAGTTCTAGTTCAGTTCTAGTTCAGTTCTAGTTCAGATCTAGTTCAGTTCTAGTTCAGTTCTAGTTCAGTTCTAGTTCAGTTCTAGTTCAGTTCTAGTTCTAGTTCAGTTCTAGTTCTAGTTCAGTTCTAGTTCAGTTCTAGTTCTAGTTCAGTTCTAGTTCAGTTCTAGTTCAGTTCTAGTTCTAGTTCAGTTCTAGTTCAGTTCTAGTTCAGTTCTAGTTCAGTTCTAGTTCAGTTCTAGTTCAGTTCTAGTTCAGTTCTAGTTCAGTTCTAGTTCAGTTCTAGTTCAGTTCTAGTTCAGTTCTAGTTCACTTCTAGTTCAGTTCTAGTTCAGTTCTAGTTCAGTTCTAGTTCAGTTCTAGTTCAGTTCTAGTTCAGTTCTAGTTCAGTTCTAGTTCAGTTCTAGTTCAGTTCTAGTTCAGTTCTAGTTCAGTTCTAGTTCAGTTCTAGTTCAGTTCTAGTTCAGTTCTAGTTCAGTTCTTAGTTCAGTTCTAGTTCAGTTCTAGTTCAGTTCTAGTTCAGTTCTAGTTCAGTTCTAGTTCAGTTTCTAGTTCAGTTCTAGTTCAGTTCTAGTTCAGTTCTAGTTCAGTTCTAGTTCAGTTCTAGTTCAGTTCTAGTTCAGTTCTAGTTCAGTTCTAGTTCCGTTCTAGTTCAGTTCTAGTTCAGTTCTAGTTCAGTTCTAGTTCAGTTCTAGTTCAGTTCTAGTTCAGTTCTAGTTCAGTTCTAGTTCAGTTCTAGTTCAGTTCTAGTTCTGTCTACGTTCAGTTCTAGTTCAGTTCTAGTTCAGTTCTAGTTCAGTTCTAATTCAGTTCTAGTTCAGTTCTAATTCTAAAGGAGAGTTCAATGGCATGACTTAATCAAAATATGTACTATGGTAGATTATACACATTTCTCAAGGGTCTAAGAAATAATAAAAACACTCTGCGGTCCTATAATTAAATCTTTTATCGATTCTAAAATACCTACTCGAGGGGTGACATCTTATCAAAACAAAGCAACTTACTGGCAGCCGGCTATTTTGAAGGTTGCTTTTATATAACAAATAACAAAGATTATGGTCAATATTTCATTTGTTATGCCAATTTTATAATAATTTTTAGTAATCCTGATCTCACAAATAATAAATTATAAAAATAATTGAACTTTGATTTAAAAAAATAAAATGTAATTTTTCTTACCTTTTTCTGCGTTTTAAGTTACGGAAGTTTTAATTAACATTTTAATCATTAAGTTAACACTTATTTGTATAAATATCCCTCAATTACACTTTGTTACATCTTCATTGCTTAATAAATTGTACAAGTTATTTTATTTAATTGCTAACTATTAATTAAATTAATACAAATTCACTAATAAACAATAAAACGTACAAACACACCAACAAATGCAAATTGTGCAATAGTCAATGGAAAAAGGAGAGAAGGATGCATTTTAACAGCTGTTAATGGTCTTAACAAAGTTGCCATATAGTTTTAGGCTGAATAAGAAAGTTTAATAAGTTTTTAGCTATTTTACACAAACAACAACCAACATGAAGATATAGTATCTTATTTAAATATTTTCTGTGAATTTTAAATAACATTTTAAGGAGTTTTTTTAAATTTAACGTTAATTTTTAAATAAAATATTGGCAACTCTATATATATATTGTGAATTACTGAAAAGAGAAAACAGTGCTTCTTCTAGTTTCCACGTGTTTGTGAATGATTAACCAGAGACTTGCGCCGATTCGGCTTATGCCGTCTAAGCCTAGCCGCCGAACAAAATGTTAAAGCGCCGTTTGAATTTTTATTAAAAAGTTTTAAAATATATATAATTTTGTTATTGGAAATAACATAATTGTTTATTGAAAAGTATTTAAGTGTAAATACTAAAAATATTTATTGATTTGGCCTGTTTGTGCGATCTAGAAGATTAAAAATGTAAGTAATGATGTTAATTAATTAATTATTTATTTGTCTCTAAAGAACGTCTTTCTTTTTATGAAAGAGGAGGGATCACGTTGGTCTCCTGGAAGAATGCCCACAAAAGAGTGGTAATTGTATACCTCCCTAGTCACCTAGGCGGGTGGTGGTCGATCGGCTAGTGGTGACATGGTATATATGAAATATGATTCTTATTACATATCAAATACATTAGTAGGTGATTTTTATAAACTATTTTAAACATACACTTTGCAGCATGTTTACATCTTCAAACGTCCAAATAAATCAGGCAGATATTTTAAAATTTCCGTGAAGCCATAAACACCAGAAATATTGTCTATATAAAAATAGTCAATCTAATTTTTTTTTTTTTTTTTTTTTCATTTAAATATAATAGTTTAATAGCAAACAAACCTTTTTAAATCACTTAAATACCTTTTGTTTAAATTTAGAATCGAAAATTAACGGGTTTAATCTGTATGTGTGATGAAATACAAAATATTTATTCTTTTAAAAATATTTTCAATTTTTTTGTTTGACAAGAAATAAAGTTTGAAGAAAATTTTTTGGTTATTCTTTTACTTAAGTTGAAATTCAGTTAAATTTCAAACAGTTGAATTTTTTTGTGCTTAAGCCGGCTACTCACCATGATATTCAATAAACGACATGTCAAATTTTTCAAATAAAATTAAAAATATTATAGTGTAGATACAAAATGTAATAAAACTTACTGAAAATACGGATGGAAAATTGAAAATCGCATGGTTTTTTTTTTAATTTTTTGAAAATTTTCAAAACGATTGGATTTTTCTTTTTATTTGAGTTTTATTTTTATTTAAACAAAGAAAAAAATAAAAACATTTCTTTCAAATGTCGATGTAATAATGGAATTCGACGAAAAAAACTTTTTTAGGAACCGCCAATATAACCCACTTACAGAAAATCAATTTATAGCTAATACATCATTCCAAAAGTTATCATTATGATAGAATTATGGCAGAATTAAAAAATACTTTAAATTATGGAGAACTTGGTCCATAATTGAACCAATACCACATTTAAGTCCCTATTCCGAAAATCACGCTGACGTTCTTGTTAATGTAATGATCAAAGTCCATATACATATGTATATGACCACTTCCGAAATTTGCTTTTTTACGACATATGATTTGCCGAATATAATTCTTACTTCTTAATTATTTTAATCATAAAGAAATTTCCGCTAAAAGAGGAATAGTCTGCCTTTAGAGTTGCGAGTTTTCATGTTTTCAAAGTGAAACTTTTGGAATATTTTTCAATCTCTTTGTATTTTTTTAAGAAAAACTTAACAGTTATTGAAGCTTTTAAAATTTGGTGTTATTCAAATCGAATTTTTATTTGAACGTAGAATTCAGAAAAATAAACATATTTTAGCTTTGTTTCAGAACTTTTTTGGCTAAAGAGAATTAATGAATTTTCTCTCCGTATTTGTAAAAAGTACGGGAACAGAAAACACTAATTTCTCTTTCAATAAATAAAAAATTTCGAACATTTTCTGTTTTCAATGTACTTTTTAAACAATAATTTATTTGACAATTTTTTTTTTTACCAGGAAAAAATTTTCTGGCTAAAACCGACAAGTTCTGACAAAGCGAAAACTATTATTATGTCAAGTAAAGGAACACAGCTTTTATATGAAAAAGAGTTTAAAAATGCCCATAGCATTTATTTTAAGTTACAATTGCAAAAAAAAACAATTATTTAATTTATTAGAATAAAATTACATTCGATTTACTTTCCACTAGATTTGTGTACTCGGTTTTAAAACGAAAAAAATTATGCCAATTCGTTTTAAATGAGAAATTTACTCGGATTCGGTTTACAGAACAGACATCGGCCGATCCTCGTAAAACTTGGAAAGGATTTGTTTTTAATTTTTAAGAATTTGTTATCCATCCCTGCATAATTTCTCACACAACTTTTGTGCTTGCTCTGGTTTGTTGTTATAAACAATATATTTGCTTCCAAAATCCCACTTTCTGATCTTTCGGATTCCGTTTTTATTTAAAATCGTTGAAAATTTAAAAACTAAACGTAGTTGAAAACTTAGCCGGCTTAAAGTCGATTTTAAGCCGCCGCCAACATATTTAGTGTCAGTCGCCGCAGACGTTAATATTGTCGGCGCAGGGCTCTGTTAACAACTTCGAAGCTAAAACGTGTGGTTTTTGTAATTTGTTTTGATTTTTAATAAATTTTTCTTAGAAAATTAACTAATTTTGACGATAAAAAATGAAAATAACGCGTTATAAAAAAATCCCACAAAACTTTAATGTTTTTTTGCCACACATTTCAATTATCATGAACCTTATCAAGTGTTAGTGGATGCCACTTTCTGCCAAGGCCGCTTTAAAGGTAAGAAATTAAATAGAAATACTAGAATATTTAACATTCTAATGTGTCTTCTCCTTCAGAATAAGTTATAATCGAAGAACAAATAAAGAAATACTTTCAAACTCAAGTAAAACTGCTAACAACACAATGTATTATTTTGGAGGCCGAATCTTTGGGAGCGCCACTCACGGGAGCTACACAAATTGTCAAGCAATTTTATGTGCACAAATGTGGTCATGAGGGAAAACCTGTAACCGCAGCTGAATGTATTAAACAAATGGTGTGTAGAACATTTATAAAAACTTTGAATCGCCTAAAGTTATTTCGTTGTATTACAGACCAAAGATTCCCGCTATATAGTTGCCAGTCAAGATCGTGCCTTACAAGGCAGTTTGCGCAAAGTGCCCGGACGTTGCCTGCTATACCTACATAAAGCTGCTCCCGTTTTGGAGGCTCCTTCTGATGCTTCCAAGAAATGGGTACACAAGAAGCCAATAATCTCTTGCCGCAAGAGGCAGAAAAGAAAATTGAGTTTCTTAAACAAAAAGAAGGTCTAGTTAGAAAGGAAAACGAGCTGCCAAAACGTAAACAAAAAGGTCCAAAAATCCTAATCCTTTATCCTGTAAAAAGAGTAAAAAACAAAGACAATATGAACAGCAACAATTGCAAAAATCTGATGTCAGCAATAAGGAACAGAAAATTGATGATAGAGTAAAACGGATATGAAACCTAAAAGAAAACGTGTAAAAGTGCCAGCACATGTTAAGGAGGTGTTGAAAAATAAATCGTGATAAGGAATTTTATGAATGAAGCTTTCGTTCTAAACAGGGATTATCCAGATTTTGTGTGGTAAAATGAAATAAAAAGAAAAAACTATTGGAATTGCTAATGAATCCTAAGGAGGCCATAACTCTTTTTAACATTGTTACCATCGGAATACTAACAATTCTCTCTAGCTGTTAATACAGTCAAATTTGTTTTATCTTCAGATACGGACAAGCATATAAATATTTACAATATTAACGGTTTATCGAACGAATTATTGCAATAAAAAACTTACCGTTTGAGTCAAACAAATTTGATGTGTGGCCGTGTCGCTTTACACACAAGAAAAATATGGGATTTAGGGGAAAATTATAGTTTAAAATAGGGTTCTATAAGTCGACTTTCGAATAATCGAACAATCGACTTTTTGTCGAAAAGTCGAAGTCGACTATTTTGTTCCAAAAAAGTCGATAACTCGACTATCGTCTGTGAAAAAAGTCGAAAAAGTCGACTTTGTGAATAAAAGTCTGAAAATCGAAAAGTCGAGAAGTCGTAAAAAGTCGAAAAGCCGAAAAAAGTCGAAAAATCGAAAATTGTAGAAACAAGTCAAAAATTTTAAAAAAGTGGAAAAAAAGTCAAAAACTCTAAAATAGTCCGAAAAACTCGAAAAAAGTTAAAAAATAGTCGGAAAAAAGTAGAAAGAAGTCGAAAAAAGTAGGAAAAAGTCGAAAAGTCGACTATTTATAAAATACTTTTAGTCGAAAAGTCTAAAAGTCGACTTTTATTTAAATGAAAAAAGTCGAAAAATCGACTTTTCATAAAATGCAAAAAGTCGAAAAGTCGACTTTTAACTAAATGAAAGAAGTCGAAAAGTCGACTTTTTCGTTTCAACTATAGAACCCTAGTTTAAAATGGTGGCAGGATTGTTATTAACTATCCATCAGAGATGGTAATGTAGTTTTTAATGGTTTTCAACTAATTTTATCCATAGTTAACCCAAATATCAGAAATTTTTATTTCAAACTGAACAACTTTTATAATAAATTTGATCTACTGATATGAACCGTGTTGAAATTGAGAAATATCTGCAGTTTAATGTTACCTTGATTTATTAAATTTATCAAAATCACTTCTCTTTTCCCCTTATTCAAAATATTCCCCATTCCACCATAAAAAAGTAAGACTCCATTATATTTTCCATCTCTGGAACAAACAAAATCAAATTCAATTTCTTGTTAATAAAAGGATTTTTATTATTTCACTCTATTTAACCACATAATTATTAACATAATGAATTCAAAACCCACTTTAAAATCTAAATGTCTAGCTACCTGCTCATGCTCTTGTCCAACATGTCAACAAAGACAGAAATTAACTAAACCCACAGTAAATTCTACTCTGCGGCAAAAGCAGCAAATAGAGCAATTGCAGAAAACTAATTTATTAAAAAATTCCAATAAACCCGAAGACTGCTTGCAGTTAAATCCCTCCAAGGTAAGTAACAAGAAATGTTTACAACATTAAATGCTTTAAATGTTACTTTTCTACTTTATATTTTAGTATACGACAAAATTAAATTTTGGCGCCAATCACAAGTTATTCAAAAATCTTACTCCAATAAATGTTAATGATTCTATTCTATTGCCAAAAGACAAAATGTCAATTCCCAAAAAATATATACGTAATAATGATAAAATACCTGCACCGGAGTTACAAGACTTTCTGGATACAGTTGCTCCCAACACTTATGTTATACCAGAACCAGAAATTAAACTAGAGTTTATGGAATATGAATTTGATGTGCTCTCCGGCTATAAACAATTAATAGAGTAATAACTTCAAACAAATTTCAATTGCGGTTTTTAAAAGAAAAACAATTTCAATATTTCGTTATATACATTTATTAGTCATTTTTAAAATAGAATACAAATTACATTTTATATCCGTGGATAGATGTATGCATTAAGATTTTTGTTAATAAATAAAATTCGAAATTAACTTTTGTCTGACTTACATTTTCATCTTATATTTATTTGCTTTTTTATACAAATTTAAATGCTTGATTATTTCATACAAATTTTGTAGATCAAAATTGGAATTTTACGACAAACTTTGAACTTAATATGATGGCATCTAATCACTTTTAAATTTTACCTTCTCTTATTTTATTTAAAGTATTTTGAGTCATAAATTGTTTAAGTATAGCACTCAACAAAGTATAACGTGAGACATAAGCCAGGAAATTGACTGGAAACAGGCCACACCAAACTAATTCCATTTTATTAGCCAAAGCAGTGGCGAAGAGAAAACCGCATCTGTCGGCTGTTAAACGTTTTTGATTTTTGGTACTTTGTCCCACTTTGCTATTGGGTTTGGCGGTAAAGGCTTCCTGTAGGAAATCTGTGGCTACTGGACCCGGATTGAATAAGGTAATATCCAAAGAAGGATGTTCCATGGCTAAACATTGTAGATAGGCATTTAAAGCATGTTTGGCACCACAATAACTGGCCGAAAAGGGTACCGTAGTTAAGCCCGCTACACTGGAAGTAGCAGCTATATGACCCTTGCCACCAGCCTGCTCCACAAAATAGTGTACTACTAAACGGCTGAGATGCAAAACGGAAAATACATCCAATTCAAAAAGTTCACGATCTACTTGAATGTCAATGTCTTCCCAATTTGCTCTTTGGGAACGTCCAGCATTATTGACCAAAATATCCAATTTGCCAAAGTAATTTAAAACCTCCAACAGACAGCGGTTGTGAGTCTCCAACTTAAGCATATCCATGGGCAGCACCAAGACATCTTTGGCCGCCAATAGTCCCTTAGCCTCTGCCAAACATTCTTCTTTCACTTCTTCCAATAGGGCTTCACGTCTGGCAGATAATACTAATCGTACACCATGTCGAGCCAAATTTAAAGCCAAACCTTTACCAATGCCACTGGAGGCTCCAGTAATCCATACCACTTGACCCCGTAAGGTGGAAATGTGTACACCAAAACGTATCTTCAACCAAAGTGCCACATTACAGTCCAAAAAGATCCATAGAAGAAAGTAAATTACGCAGTAAATTAGCACAGTAAAACCCAAAATTTCAAAGAAGTTCATAGTACATAACTAATCTGTACGGAACGAAGTGATGATTTGAGTTTTATCTCTCTCTATGTTGTTCAAACGAGAAGTTTTAAACTTTTATTATAAAATAAATAAAGATTTAACAGTGATAAGAAAAATCAACAAAAATTAATAAATGAAAATAATAACAGAGTTGTTCATTTGTTTGGACAAAACAAAGAGATCATACAGGTGGCAGCGTTCAGTGAAAGTGATGGCAAAAATATTTGCATATAATTGTCTATTTTTAAGGTACTTTTTGTATAAATTTGGTACTTTTTTGTTAAAAATTTAAATCATATTGAATGTATCTACACATAATACGAATATCTCTATCATATATGTTTATATCCCAGTATATATTAAATAAAATACAAAACACTTCTTTTTTCAAAATTATTAAATCAAGTAAATAATATATTTCCAATATTTTCACATATTTTTGCAATTTGCTCATTGGAGGCATGTTCTGCCGCCAATATAGCATTACCCACTGCTATAGTTTCTTTCACCGACTTCGCCTTAATCCAGATGCGTCCATTTAAACCTACCGCAATTTCAAATGGCATCTCCTTTGTTAGCGCCGCCAAAAGTGGGCAGTCTTCGCGCAAAATCATACGTGCCAAATTTAAACTACAATTGAAAACAAATCCATCTGGAAGTACTCCCAGCTTTCCTTTTTTACCCACCGAATTGACGCACACCAATTCGGGTTCGAAATCTTTACTTGCCACTATAAGGCGGGCATACACTAAATCGCCTGTATTAACATCCGGACGATTTTTCTTGGTGGCCTGTTCGAAGGCCAAATAGGAAAGAGAGGCTTGTTCACAGCCTCCTATATCGACACGAAAGATATCACCTGCCTTGGCTGTCACTACACCAATGACTGCTTCTCCTCTTACGGGCACATATCTCCTCTGATAGCTTTCCACCCAAAATGTGTTGGGTTCTTTGTGTTGTAGTGTTCCGGCTTTGCAGGCCACAACTTGTTCGTCTTGTCTTCTCAGACCGGGTCCCAATATTACTTTCTTTGTTTAGCCATCTCTTCAGCGGCTGTTATACGATCACCGGGCATAACTATTTCTGGCATTTTGTTTATTTATCTGTGCTATTTTTTAATTTCAATTTAATAAAAATAAGACAATATATTAAGACACACGTGAAAATAGAAAAACTAAAAATCAAAACAATTTGTGTTGTGATGCCGTATGACAAAAAAGAGTTGTCGGTTTGCCATATCAACTTAAAAACAGTTATATTGCCACAGTGTGGAGTAAAAGAAGGTTGCCAGTGAAGTAAATTATTACTAAATAGACGTTAAAATTACGTACAATTTAAAATGAAATATGAGATAGATAGATAGATTGATAGATAGATATATAGATAGATAGATAGATAGATAGATAGATAGATAGATAGATAGATAGATAGATAGATAGATAGATAGATAGATAGATAGATAGATAGATAATAGATGATAGATAGATAGATGATAGATAGATAGCTCGCTCGCTCGCTCGCTCGCTCGCTCTCGCTCGCTCGCTCGCTCGCTCCTCGCTCGCTCGCTCGCTGCTCCTCGCTCGCTCGCTCGCTCGCTCGCTCGCTCGCTCGCTCGCTCTCTCGCTCGCGCTCGCTCGCTCTCGCTCGCTCGCTGCTCGCTCCTCGCTCGCTCGCTCGCTCGCTCGCTCGCTCGCTCGCTCGCTCGCTCGCTCGCTCGCTCGCTCGCTCGCTCGCTGCTCTCTCGCTCGCTCGCTCGCTCGCTCGCTCGCTCGCTCGCTCGCTCGCTCGCTCGCTCGCTCGCTCGCTCGCTCGCTCGCTCGCTCGCTCGCTGCTCGCTCGCTCGCTCCTCGCTCGCTCGCTCCTCGCTCGCTCCCTCGCTCGCTCGCTCGCTCGCTCTCTCGCTCGCTCGCTCGCTCGCTCCTCGCTCGCTCGCTCGCTCGCTCGCTCGCTCTCTCCTCTCGCTCGCTCGCTCGCTCTCGCTCGCTCGCTCGCTCGCTCGCTCGCTCGCTCGCTCGCTCTCGCTCGCTCGCTCGCTCGCTCTCTCGCTCGCTCGCTCGCTCGCTCGCTCGCTCTCTCGCTCGCTCGCTCGCTCGCTCGCTCGCTCCTCGCTCGCTCGCTCGCTCGCTCGCTCGCTCCTCGCTCGCTCGCTCGCTCGCTCGCTCTCGCTCGCTCGCTCGCTCGCTCGCTCGCTCGCTCGCTCGCCGCCGCCCGCCCGCCCGCCCGCCCGCTCCCCCTTTGTTCCCTCCCCTTCCTCCCTCGCCCCTTTCTCTTCTCTGGGCCTTTCCCCTTCCTTTTCGGCCTCCCCCTCTTTTGCCTTCTCCCCGCTCCCTCCCTTCGCCCTCCCTCTTGCCCCATCCCCCTCGTCTTCCCCTCCCTTGCCTCCTCCCCTTCCCTCTCTCGGTCCGTTCCTCCGTCCCTCTCTCTGTCTTCTCTCTAATACATCCAACATAAAAGAAACATCCAGCCAGGTTGACCTTCATTTGAAATTGTTAACACTAATACAAAATTATGAAATTACCGTAGTAATGATGACTCATTGACCATTTGGTTTTAATAAACCAACCAAACATAAATAAATGATGAAACTATTATAGCAATTGATGATTTGAGTTTATTTTAATATTTCCCTTGAAAATATAAACATTTTAACAGAAATAAAGGATAATTTAAACTTTCAAAAGGTTTCATGATTTTAAATATTCGGTGGGTCATCGATAATTAAAGTGTACATATAATGTTTAATTGTTTTTATAAGATCATAATTGACACTTTTATAATAAAAATTTTAAGAATGTGTAATGTTTTCTTTAGAAATTAATCAGTTTTATTGTGATGTAAACGTTCATTCATGATTAGGAAATTATTTGGCGGGCCTCTATTGTTAATAAACGTGATGGCATCACTTGTTTGCTCTCTCCAACATTTTGACAAAACTTATGTTTGGGCTTGCCAGACTTTATTTGTAAAGTTTTTGGGAAAAATAATGTGACAAGGATTTTTTTAATCAATTTTAGAATATTTTGGTAAATTTAAATGTTTTAAGGGGTTGTTGAGATGAAAAATAAATCTTTTGAATGAAATCGAAAATACTTCAACATAAAATTATATAATTGATATGTATATGTACATTATTTGTATGACCACCTGTCAATTGAAATTATAATGGGGTCATAACATGAAGAGCTAGAGTATTTATTTATTATAAATAGATATGTTATCTACAATTCAATGTAAAATGTAAATGGGTCTAAACGGAGAAGGAATATTTATTTAGTTTTTAAATGGTTAGAATACATAAACAAAAAATTCGTTCCTATAAATAAGAAATTTTGTGGATATTTTCCATTTTGATTAGAGGAAGCGACAAGAAAAAACTATCTGGCAGCGTTGATGGTAAAAAACAACATCTGACAAAATTCCATGCCAAACAACAAAAACGATAAAAAAATACTCTCTGGAAATTCAAAAGAAAAAATTATTACCGGTAGAATTCTCCCTTGTCACCTTGCTCAAGGTCATTAATAAAAACAAACCCCCCGCCCGCTAAAAAAACATAATTTTGAATTGATTTTTCTTGTGGGAAAAAGGCCTAAATACAGAATTTTAACCCCTAACGAGTAAATAAACTAATAAATTTTCCACATCTTGTGGAAGAGACATTTGTATCTATTATTTTGCGCAAAACCAAAGAGAATTTAAATCAAGTTCCTCCCGTCGACGACAATGATGATGGGGGCAAGTACAATAAAGTTGGGCAAAAATGTATTGTATGCTAGTACACGTAAATACTCAGTATCAGTCGCTAAAGAGTCGTTGTTGGGTATAAAACAACTAAAGTTTAGTTCTGTCAATTCACTGCAAATAAAAAGATACAAGTAAGTTGGAAAAAGCAAAAAAGAAAAAAAAAGAATAGTGGACAAAATTTTTTTTGAATTGTGTTTTTGAAATTTTTCTTTTAAAATTATTACGGGCCGGTATTATTATTTTTTTGAAAATCATTTGTTTTTGTTTTATAATTCACACCCAAATGCATTTTAATAAAAATTTACAAGAAAACCATAAAATGCAACCATAAAGTGCAAGCGTGTTGTAAAAATAGTGTTGTGCTATTAGATAACAATTTTTATACAAAATTTTTAAGATTTTTCTTAAATTCTTTTAATTATTAAAGAAATTTTAATTTGTTTTATAAAGATTAATAATTTGTTCTGTGTTTTAAGTTTGATTTTTTTAGAAAATGTGTTTTTATTCATTTGACCTCTAGCTAAAGCTTAGAGGTCATTTGTTTTAGATTTCATTTACTCATCATAGTAATTTACTGTGCAGTGTGTTTGTTATAAAGTTAATTTTAAAGTGAAAGTATTACAAAAGTTAAAAGTTTTGTTCTTTTAATTAAATAATAACCATTTCTTTAAATATTCTATTAATTTCTAGAATTTTTTCTCAATTTGGCAAAATTAGTTTATAGAATACAAGTTTATTTTTAGTTTATCCCCTTTACCCTTTTACTATTAGTTGTCTGCTTTATGCAGTTTATTAAACTTTTATTTTCTTTTTACTTTTTAATTATATTTCCTGTTTATTTTATTGCTTTATTTTACAAAAGAGAAAGAGCAATCACAATAAAAATTGCACTAAAAATTGCATCGCTGTGTTTGTCACTTTGACAACTAGCAAATGAAAAAGCAACTAGTAGTAGTAGTAGTAGTAGTATTTTTTTATTGAGACTTATTTCATTTTTGACACTACGAAAATCTTATAAGAGTAAAGATATATGTAACAAGGTTTCTTAGAACTATATTCGTCTTATTCTAATACACGGTGAATTGAAATGGCTACTAGCCTGCAAAATGGATGGAAGATGTAACACTATGTGTACATTATATTTTTATGAAATGTCAATGCTTGCTCGCGGCATTTATGTTGACTAACAGAGCTATGTCTGTTAAAAATAAATAAACAATACAATAATCAAAACTAATATATACAATACAAACAATACTGTCAAGTAACGTTAACACAACAGTGAAATTGAACAAATCAAAATTTACAGTTAACAGAACGTTAAACCAATTAAAACCGAAAGGTTTCCAGATCGTGATCACAAATTAATATAATTATCCGAAAGGAGTTCATCCCACAGAGATAGATATAAAATCGGACTCTATCCGATCCCAATAAACCATCCATAAAGCAGTCTAGAAGGCAATAAGTAGAATTTTCAGTGAAAATAATACAATTCACCACCCGTAACCTTAAAAAATGGTACCAAAATCTAGTAAACAAAGTATATAAAATATCACATATATGCATGTATAAATATCACAGATAAATTCGAAAAAAGTGTATATAAAATATCAGCCCCTGTGTGTCCCCTGGTCGGATTTCCTGAAGAAATCTGGCAGTTCGTAGATGGCGTCGTCCAAGATAATATTCTCATTGAGTATTCCAACAGGAGATAGATAATAGGGGTTATGCCAGCTGATATCCCTTTGTGCCGCAAAAATCTCGTTCATTAGATGGTTCTCATGATCAGCGAGACGGTCCACAAACTTCCTTTGTAGAGCTAGAGCATACTTGCAAAATGGAGTCACAGAAGCAGTCTCATAGATGAATGAGTTGGAAAATCTTTCCGTATGATTTTTAAAGTTGCGGTTTATACATTTACGTAAAATATTTCTTTCCAGAAGTTCTATCTCTTTCGCAACCGTTGGAGATATGGAAAACCATATTGGAAAAGCATATGTTAAGACGGATCTAATTGCCACTTTGTACAGGAGGAGTTTAGTATTTTTGGGAAAATAAGTACTATTCAGCAACCTAGAGAACATCGAAGCAATGCGTTTAGTTTTTGTCAGAAGTGTTCGTCCATGGCAGTTAAACTTAAAAAGTTTGTTGAAATTAACTCCAAGGTATGTTATATTGTCTTTTATTGGGATTTCTATCCCATTTAGTGTGAGAAGTAGGCATTTACTTTGGGGGACCACGTAGTCTGCACATTTGCCCGATGCGTTTCTAATACATATAGCCTTCGATTTTGCAGCATTTATCTTAATTCCCCATTTGTCGTAGAAATCACGGATAGAACCCAAATGTGCGGCGGTGTTTTTCAGTGCTTGTAATGGCGAATCATTGTGGCTGTAAACCAAACAATCGTCAGCATATAAGATTGCTGTGGAGTTATCTTTTGTATGCGGAAAA